GGGTAGGTCAGGGCACAGGCCACCATCTGCCTCTACAAACAGTCTCGGCAGCGGGCACTGGCCTCACAGCCCCCCCAGACCCCTCCCAAGGCCCTTCCCGAAGCAAGGACGGCACTTACGCGTGAGGGCAAATATATTTCACGTAGGGGAGGCGGATGGAGGAGAGAGCGTCAGCCCAGCTGTGCCTGGGGAGAGAGGGAGAGGAGGGAGTTCAAGGCTTGCCTTAGCATTTTGGAGGATGCTGGCGAAGGTGAGGGATTTCCCCCAAGGACAGGTTTTCTCCAAGGCTGCTGGCCCCTTGCCCCTGCTCCAGCGTTGTTTTACCAGGTCCTGCCCACCCCAGCAGCCTGAATCCCAACGTGAATCCCCGGCACAGATCTCCTCTGCGGCAGGGCAAAGGCAGCACACAAAGCCCCGCAGCCGGAGGCAGGGGAGCTGCTATCAGCAAGGGAGGAGGGAGAATCTCCTGTGCGGGGAGAAGCCTTTCGTTACTGCTGTATCTCACGCTGTCCTCTAAGGCGGCCTTGCACATTAGAAAGGTGCGCTCGCGTAGACACAACCCAACTCCCACGGACTGGAAAAACCGCAGTGCTTATCTGCTTGCCTTAAAGAAAGCAGAAAATCAAACCCGCAGGAGGCGGGGGGCTGCCAGGATCATAAATATTCAAGTGCAGACAGCCGCTGGCCGGCGATTCCCTGTGAGGGTGGCGCAGGCACGGCTATTGGACCGAGCTCAAAGCCCCAGACAAATCTCGGAGCTGCCCCTGGGGAGAGCAGCACCGGCGCTCGCAGCAAAGGGCCGGGCCCGCATTCAGCAAACCACGCGTCACAGCCAGAGCCAGCTCCAGGAATACTCACCCCGTGTCTCCAAGGCCATGTAAAAAAATGACCTGTTAAATTAAGCAGAAAAACAAAAGAATTAGCTGGTGCGACAGCCGGTGCCCTGGGAGAGAGGCAGGGCTGAGCTCACGGGGCGGCGGCAAAAGGCCACTTAGTCACTCACTAGAGGAGACTCAAACAGGCAGAAATTAGCCGATGCTAATGACACGTCTCTACAGCTTTGAGCATGACGGATGGGTGGAACAGGCACATCATCATGCCACAGAGCCTGCTGCCACAGCCAGGTTCGTGGGCGTCGGCGGCCCCTTGGCTGCCCAGAGTAGCAGAGGGCCAGGGAGCGACGGATCGTCCCGCCAGGCTGCACGGCACCACGCCGAGCGGAGGCCGAGCTTGCCAAGGACTCACAAAACCCATCTCTACGGGCTTTTCATCTAAGACTTGAGCAGCCCCTCAGCGACAGGGAGCAGAGGGAGGGCAGCCTGTGGCGCCCCAGGGAAGGACAGAGGATTTTCTTTGGGGGATTTGCTTTTAAAAGCTTTAATAGCCAAATCAGCTCCAACTCCCACCAACTTCCCTGCGGGTCAAGCCTAGCTGTGAGACTGCTTCCACACTGGGCCAAGCACCAGTAACAAACAGCCCAGCCGAAAGGACGGTTACTCTTCCCCAGCAAGAGAAGAACTCGCTGGTCCTGCATCCCCCTTCGATGCACCAAGATGTACATCTGAAGAGCTGAGGGACTACGGGCTCAGCTCCTGGCCCCTCCGAACCCCAGGGAAGCAGCTCCTTAGCTTCAAGACTGCTAAAAGGGAAGAAGGAGGTGAGGCAGGAGGGGTCCGGCCCTTACCGCGGCAGTCTCCCGCTCTGCCCCTGAGACAGTCACTGCATCAGCGAGGAGGGGGACAGACATGTTGTTACCACACATACACCGAGAGAGACTCAGACACTGGCACCTGCGGGACAGAGGGACAAAGGTAAGGTAGGAAAACACTCCCTTCTTCCCCCTCCCTCAACAATTTGCTCCAGAGGGACCAGCTATTTGGGACAAAATCAAAGAGTACCTGAAGTCTTTGATGTTTAAGCCCTTGGGACAGCCCTGCTCCATCCCTGGCCTCTCAACGCCGGAGAGCCAGGAAGCAGAAAATGCTTCCCACGTCACAGCACCAGATGCGTGCGAGTGGGGATGCGCGTGTGGGGTGTTGGAAGCGTTAAAATTAGCTCTTTCTGTTACACCTCAAAGCCAAAGTTATTTCTGTGACTGTAACGACGTGGGCAGAGGGCGGCCGGGCGGCGCGCAGCCTCAGCATCCCTTCCCGGGGGCCGGCGGAGCCGAGGAGGAGCCTGACCCACATCTGCTCCGATGGGGAAGCAGGAAACGCCAGCCCTCGGCACGCAGCAGGCAACAGCACAGGCTTTACAGCACTAATAAAAGGTCCAGCCCTTTTGTATGGAGCCGGCTGGGGATAAACCGGAGCGTTCAGGCGCTGGCCTGAGACCCAGCCCCGCGCTGCCTCACGGTCTCCTGCCAGCACGAAGGGCTGACCGTCACCTCCCGGATCCCGGTCACCTGCGGGGCGGGCGGCTCCGGCAGAGCTAACAGTCCCCACGACACCACCTTCAGACGCGACAGTCGATGGTGTTTGTTCCCAGTCCGGCGCAAATCACTAAAACTACCGCACCTCACGTGACAGGCCCTAACGCCCGCTTACCGCCCAGGACTAATTAGATCAGAGCACGTTTACAGCGCTGCCATCATCTCCCAGGAGCAAGATCAGACCCCACGGTCTGCTCCAGTCTTCACATCTCACAGCGAGCACTATCCCCAGAGGAT